TTTGAATTTAAGTTTTAGAAATAACTATAAAAATAGAATATCTTACGTGTAAGTTTTACCCTGGAGTAGGATGGTGAGTTCTTTAAGAAGTGGTCCAATTGCCTGTATTGGCAGCTTGGAAATGGTATTCCTAATAATAGATTCATTTTTTGTGAGGAAAATAGTGCTCAAAATAGCTTTATCTTTACTGTTCAAGCCTTGTATCAGTAGTTGTATCCTATTGCTACCTGCAGTTGCAGTTTTTCCAGTAGGATTGGTTTCAGCATTTAGGCTCAGATTTTCTAATCTATCCTTCAGTAATAATTGTGATCCAGAACTGCTTTTAGTTCTTTTTGGTGTAGTTTCAATAATTCCTAAAATAAAATAAATTAATTTATAATAAAATATACATTTCCCATTAAATAATTCAAATATAAGTAAATGTAACAAAACAAAACTAATTAACAGAATAAAAAGAAGTAATTTTTTACTACTTTTTTTTATTATTTATCAATTTCTTTATTGTTAACTATAAATGTTATGTTTAAATATTACATAATAGATACCTGGTGCAAGATATTCTACATTATCTTCAATTAGAGTGGACTTCACTTTAGAAATTTCTTCTTTTCTGTCTTTATTTCTCTTATACTCTGAACGCACTAGACATTGTACCTTATCAGAAAAATCTGGGGTCACTTTTTCAAATATAGGATTAAGGTATGTTCCATATGCTAATAGCAGTTTTTCGTCTTCTGTTAACTTTGCAACTAAGATAGAAACTTGCTGAACACTATCTTTTTGACTTATATCAGAAGCAACTGCAATATTTAAACTGGGCTTCAAAGGTTTTGATCGAGCATTTGGTTGATATTGAAATAAATGTGCTTGTCCAGACCTAGTTACTACCAGTACCATCACTTGAGAATTTTCTGTGATATTTGTAGAAACACTTATTGGATCATCCTGTAGGGCTAAGCTCACCACAGGAGTTCTTTCCTTTCCTTGCTGAAAATATTTTCTCATTTAGTAGATATAAACATATGTTTGATTTTGAATTATTTTGACACAATAATACATATATTTTAAATTGTCCAAGTGAAATATTCTTTCAAATTAAGCAATGGTTAATATTAATGTTCTAAAATTTAAGAATTATATTTAAATTGTAATCTTTACATTGCTAAAACATAATACAATATCTGATTCAGTTTTATATTTTAACTGACCATGTTAAGGAAATATTCATAAATATTACTACAAGCACTTATTTATGTTCAAGAAGAAATAAAGATTTTTATTTTTAATATAAATTAATTTCAATACCAG